GAAGAAGTGGCACAGGCTGCTCTATCTAGCCCAGATTATCCTTGTATAACCTGAATTACATAGGGTAATGCAAAAGAGATATGCGGCTTAAATTTTTCCTTCTCAAGAATTTTCACATCTTACTAATGTCAGAAAACAAGAAAAATAAGAGATAATTTTTCACAGATAATTGATTCAGGAAAAGAGCACATAAAGATGTTAGATAGAAATTCACCAGCATGTTATCTAAAAGGCAATTGTGATATCACCATTATTTTCTAATCCTATTTATTAATAGTTGTTAGAAATATTAGTTGTTAAAATATATTTTATGATAATGTTTTAATTCTTATTTAATTATTATTATTGTTTACTGTTAGAATGTTTTAGGTTTTATGCTTCCAAATAATTGATATGTTATTCATTCATTAATTAAAAATAACTATTAATTGATTATTTTATTTTAAACTATTTCTATTTCAAAACTTAAGAATGGCTGAACCTGTGTATTGAATCTCATTTTGAACCAATAAATATCTACTAGTAACTCATTTTTTTTAATAACAAAACATTTTACTGGAGGAAAAAGTATAATTTTTATAGAGTAGAATAATTTAGACTTTATCAACATGTATGCATTAGCATTTTTAAATGTACCTGGTCCTGGAAAGTGTTCAATTTTCTTTCACAGTATCTTACATTTCTTCATATAAATTATTAATAATTAACTTTCTGTGACACTGTTCAAATTCAGAATGATTTTCAGCTATTAATAAATCTTAACCACTTTATGATGTAAGTAAATATTAAGGAGTGTGGTTAAGAAGGCTCATAAACTACCTAATGTCTAGAAGTCTACCAGAATTTATTGTTACATAAAGATGATAGCCTTATAGCAATGAAAAGGAGACATTGCATCGTGGAATAGCTAATGGATATTACAAAAAAAAGCAAAGGTATTTAACAGGTTTCTTTTTAATTTTTTTTAGTTGTTGATAAGTCTTTATTTTATTTATTTATTTTTATGTGGTTCTGAGGATCGAACCCAGTGCCTCACACACTCTGGGCAAGCGCTCTACCACTCAGCCACAACCCCAGTCCTCAATAGGTTTGTATTTCATCATTACCATTAGTAAAAGCAAAGGGAATATAATATTAAGAAATCTAATATTTTTGTGAGCAAAGTATATTTCATGCTTGTACATTTTGAAGATCTGAATTGATTCTGAGAGCAGAATTCTGATCATAGAAACTGAATTAATGAATAGCTAGCACATCTCGTAGTATAGTTTTCTGGAATATCAATCAAATCTGTAGTGCACTGTACAGAACCTGGAAAAAGACAATAAAATATTAACACTCCTGAAAGTATCTAAAAGGCAAGAATACTGGGTGGGTAATTGGAAACATAGTGCATTACTTAGGTAAAATCAATCAGAGGGCAGTGTTGATTTTTTTTTTTTTTTAAATCTGGTTGGGGTTATCAAAATTTAAAATCCTGAGATGTTTTAGTCCTGATGGAATATTATCCAACTTCTATACTTATGAAGACTATAAAAAGGCAGAGTTATTTTTTTTTCCTTCTGAAAAAAAATCTGTTTGCACATGCTGAAATAATAGGAGGGATTTTTCTTGGAAGAGAGTGAGGACCGAAGATCCCTTTATTTGAATATAACACTGACAAGCCTGCAGAAGATTAATTCACATTAAGCACTTTACACTTTTATATCCTTGTAGCATGAGTTTGAGAAGTGGAACTATATATTTTCTAAATAGACTAGCATGGCGTTTAGTTTTCTCAAAGTATCTGGGTAAATAAGACCTCGTGCTGATGATGACATGATTATTTTAAGTAAGCTACTTCACATTTTGTGGGTTTTTTTTTTCGTCAGCTTTAGGCAGGGATCAATAAATCTAGGCTTGGGGAGGTTCACTTTAGGAATCTCAGTGAGAAGCCTCACTAGACCAGCTCCTCCTTAGAGCAGTCATCACTGATGATAATCATGAAAAAAAGGAACACATTTAAAGTATGTGAAAGGTATCCTAAAGGCACACACTAGTTAAGCAAATTATTTACCCAAAATACTCTATAGAATCTTACCGTAATCCTACCTTAAGAGCATGTAGCCACTCTGTCGTGATGGGTCTCCCTCCCTTCCCTATTCCTGTACTCAGTGTGAAAGAAGCTCTACTGTGAGTGTGTGTTGATCAGTTTTTTGTCACTCTAGCACATTTCTGAAATAATCAAATTAAAAACGGTTTGTTTTGGCTCACATTTTGGCCTCACGTTTTGATTTGTTGGCTAATTTTCTTATGAGCTGGTGGCTAAGTGGCATAACATGGTAGATGGAGCAAAACCACTCACCTGATGTCCAGGAAGTGGGACAGGAAGATAAAAGGGCGAGGGTTCCACTATTCCCTTTACAGGTGGTTAAGGGCATACCTGTAAAGGGAATAGTTTACTATCCCACATGCAAATCATTCCTAGACACACCCTTATGGACATACCCAGAAGCATTTTAATCTTCAGCATCTCTTAATTCCATCAAGTCAGTAATGCAAATTAACCATTATAGCTTGTTTTCCTGAATTTTTCCTCAGCAGATTTATTATTATTTATTACTAGATTTGTTATTACAAAAACAACTGAGAATTTTTAATTCACAAAGGATGAAAACACAAGACACTGATCTCATTGTACATATCACAATAAAATGATTAGCTGTAGACTATTAAAACATTTAAGACTTCACGTACACATACATACTCTGAAACAAGAAACAGGACATTTTAACCTTTGATATGTTCATGACCACTGAAAAGAAAGAATATCACAGATCACAGATTTGCATCTAATTGTTTTTTTGATATACAAACAAGATATAAGCCAGTCCTAAAGTACACTGTGTTGTTAACAACTGTTAGAGTCTGTAAACAAGTCAAAATAACACCTGGCATTTTGCCAGGGGAATGTTAGAGTTCGTAAACAAGTCTGGATGGTGCCTGGCAAAATGCCAGAGGGAGTGGTTTGAGAAGTAACAAAAGCGAGCCATTAAGTGTGGAGATTCCTTATTGGTTGACTGATGTATCTAGTTTATGCTAATTAGATAAGCTGTGTGGAATGTATAAATACTGCTCCTGTCCTGCAATAAACGGCTCCCCCCCCCCCCCCCCCCATTATTTGGCCAGCCGTACTCCGGCAAACAACATCTGTAAGCAAATATAAACATTCTGACTTGGGATTTTTTTCTTCCCACCCCAAACAATCTGCCTTGTTATCCATTTAACAAGATCACAAAAACAAATACAATATTTTTATCACATGACTGGGAGAGGTTTTTAGACAGATCATACAAAATTTTTTTTTTGTTGTTCCCAAGGAAGGCAATCTGTAAATTGTAAATGCAATCCTAGGAAAACAGAATCTTGGTCATAAATGATCCACTTTCAAATAATGACGACGAAAAATAAAAAAGCATATGTTGGGAAAGGGGACGTGCTGGTATGGTAAGGAATAGAAAGGTATGAAATGAGAAAAATATATTTGCCACAGGAAATATTGGATTCAGTTGATTTTTTTTAAAAAAATGAGGTATAGGAGTATGTCAGCAAAAGAAAAAAAACAAAAAATTAAGAACTGAAATGCACATTTCCAATGGAAAAATCTCTAAACCTCTTATAGTTTTCTTTATGAGACATTTCATATACAGCAGTTAATCTAGAAAAATACATTTAAAAAAATTTTCAACAGACCATGCTCCCTGTAACAAGACCTTCCAAACCCTGTTTTATTATACAAATCAATTACATTAGTAATGTAAAAAGAAATTCTCAAATTTAGCAATGTTATTTTCCAACCAAGATTCATCTAATTTACACATGAATTTCCACTATTCAAACTGGAGAGTTAGAATTCTGTAATAAATTTTTCTAATGCAGTCTGTACATATTAAATAACCTAAAAGGATCCTCTTGTAGTGCATTTACCATTTAGCAAGTCTTTTCAGTATTTTTCCAGTACCATTCACATTACAGTGATCTGCCTGTAAATGTTATTAAGATCTAAAAGTGCACACAGTTGTCATTCCCAAATAATGGTCTCCTTCTGGAGGAAACCTAATATTCACAGAAAAGATTACCTATATCATGATTACAAATGTAGGGTTAGCATGTATTCTGAGACTATACAACACAATTATATACATAAGCTAAGACATTAAATCTTTAGCCTATATTTACATCAAATAATGTCTGTTTCCACAGGGTCATACCAAGAATTCAATATGGCACTAGATATAATTAGGATTGTTAGCTACAATTCAGTATGGTGAGGCAGTCCAAAATACCCTGAACTGACTTATGCTAAATGAAACTCCAGTATATCACAGTGTTTTAAGCAATATTAGTGTGCTGCCAAACAAGTAACTAAGATATCCAGTAAGGATGCTGTGCAACACAGGAAAAGACAGCAAGCCTTCATGGAGGGACTATATCTGGGTTATAATTAATTTTAATATTTAGACTGCCACTGCATGCAGAAACCCTGAAAAAGAAATACACAGGTTTCAAAATGGATATACTTCATTTTGTTTTAAATGCCCAAGAGTGTCTTTAAAATAACTCCCTAGTAAATATTATTCTATCAAGTCAAGAACTTAAGGTCATGAGAAGAAATTCTACATTATCCAGTTTGAGGGGAAAAAATGTAGTTTTTCTTATCAAATTGTCCAGTGTATTTGACTGGTTATTCTACGTTTTCATTTTTACTAAAATTCAGAGTATTAAATGCAAACAATCAAGATAAAATGAATCAAAAATTACACACAGTTATATCACCTTGCAACAAAGCAGCAAACATGAGGGCCTAACAGGCATCTTCGCTCTACCACTTCCCTTCTGATCCCTCAAAAAAGTGCAAAATCAAAGAGTCACTGCTTGGTCCAAAAATAAAATACATTGTATATAAAGATGTGAAATTTGATGGAATCCAGCTTCTGTTCCACAGGTTGTCTTCCACAGAATCAACGTCCAAAGATGGAATTTAATTCTAGAAGAATTAATTCTACAATCTGATTTTGGTACACAGTATGAACTGCTGTATTACCAGTCTCTTTCTCTGGCTTTAACAGAGTGGGACCAAAAATAATTGCTATACTTTGATGGTCATCCGTTTTTTTTCTCCATTTTCTATAACTCTTTTGAGGTGTCTAAAAAGAATCTGCATTGTATCTTGATTTGGCTTTGGCAACTGTCTGATCAGGTCCTTAACAGCAGCAACATGCTGTCTTGGTTCTTGTTTAATTGCATTAACAAAATCATTAAAATGATTAAATGTAAAAAGAGGTTCTGGTAGTTCTCGAAAAAAACATTTTGAGTGCTCCAGTGATAACATGAATGTCTTCCCATTTACTATCATTCAAGTCCAATTTCTCATCATGATTGACTACAAATCTCAGCTTCTGGACCACTGCAAGGTTGCCACTCACTCTGTAGATTCCGTCAACATCCAAACCGTGTTCTTCAACATGTTCAATACATAAGTTCACAAACTTTGGCACTGTTTCATTCTCTCTCTGACACAGATTAGCAAGATTGGATCCAAACACCTGATCTTTAATATAACCTTTTTCACGAACAGCTTGCAAAGTGGGGAGTCGTGTAAGAAACTTCTTTAAATTCTTCTTGTTTTTTTTTTTTTTTCTGTTGTGAAGAATCTATGCTAGATACTTTCATGGAACGAAGTTTTTTAAGATCCTTCTGGTCTTTTTCTTTATCCGGCTTTTCTATTCCTGGTGAATCTGGTACCTCCTCTTCAATTCCTTCATTAGTTTCTACCGCCTGATTACTGATAGTACTACTAAGAACTTTAAACCAATCATTAATAATAGCATCATTATCAGATTGAATTAGCAATTCTGTTCCTTGACGAGTTTTCAGCTCAAATACATTCTTTTTGCTTGATTTATCCTTTGATGCCATCTCAATGGTTACCCCTCTGAGATCCACTGTGAACTCTGGTTTGGGCTGATTACTCCCAAACCAACTTGTGCTACTTCCTTGAGTTTTGGTAAAAAGTAAAGATGAACCCTGCAATACTGCCCAAGAAGACAACCAGTTCTTTCAAACCTTTTTCCCATGTTCAGTAATTTTTGTTACATTTAATAATCCATATTTCTCTTGACCCTTGTCATTGGTGTCCAATACAATGGTGCTATGTCTCCATTTTGTTAATACTATTGGTTCTTGCAGCCGCCTGTCCAAGCTCCTACTTTTAATTATTTATCTTTGCTGCTGGGCTGAAGGATTGTATTTTGGTAATTCCCATTCCGACCGAGATCCATCCGCACTGTAGTAATACTGTCTACCTTGATCGTCAACATGCTTGAGCCACTTTTCATTAGTATAGTCACTGGTATATGAGGTATGCCCACGTTCATCCAACTCTTCTGACCAACCCCTTGGAGGAGAACCACACTGACTATCTGACTGGCTGTAACAAATGCTGTGGTAGTTTTCTTCTGATGAAAGAAGCTCTTGATCTCCTGGACTTTGGAAATCGTTGCTTATGTTTGCATCCCAAGTCCAGCGGGGTGGCTTCCAAGTTCTTTCCTGTGTTCCTCGGTTATAGTAGTAACAACGCCCTGAACTATCTTTATGAGTCTCCCATTCTCCATTAATCTGAATTGCTGGGCTCCCAGGAAGTGGGGGGACAGCAGACTGGGATATTTTCAATTCTTTAGGTTAGCATACACAGGAGAGTCTGGCCTTCCTGGATTTGGAGGTGTAGTTGCCCTTATCTGTTCAGTGGAGCTGCTGCTAAGTTCATCTCCAGATTCAGAATCTTGATGGATTCTTTCCGAGCCTTCTCCTGCTGAATCACAAGACTGTTCCTGGGAGAAGCTAGTTTTCTCAATGTCCAAGAACTCTGGACCAGGAAAGTGACCAAATAAGCGCGTCCTGTTTTGGCTACAAACTTTAGGAGAATGTGAGTCACTGTTAAACTTTCCATTATTATGGGTCAGGTCCAGGCTTAGATTGAGAGTTGGACCTGGATTATAATTGGGTCCAAAATTCTGATTGGCATCACGAATAAGACCTGTTCCTTGAACAGACCACGCTGGCTTCCCAAAACTTGAAAGCTCAGGCAATTTGTTCACATTTTCTGTCGATCTCTGAAGATGTAGACTCTGCATCCTTTTCATAGAATTATTTGGCAGTCCAACTGCCTGCTTAATAGGAGGCATTAGAGCTTTGCGGGTGACCTCCTTAACATATTGGGCTGGCACGTAAAAGGCTTTAGAATTCTCATCTGGTTTAACTTGCCACCAGTCATCATTGGTCTTTTTCACCAAGATATACCGCTCCCCTTGTTTTATCACAATCTTTCTGTCCTTGGCTTCATATTCATAATCATATTCCACTTCAATATACACTTGTCCTGGAACCATCTTCCCACTTCTGTCAGCCATTTTTATTCAATATTATTCACCTCTCAAAAAGCATGGCATGCCACATCATGGCTTTAGGACTTGCTGCATTAATATAGTATGTTACTTAAAAGGAGATATAAATATCCAGCATTACATTTAAACCGAGGGCCCGGCGGCCTTGCGGTGGAAGACCCCCTCCTCAGCCAGCACGGTGGGCGCGGAACACCTAGGCGAGCCTGGAGAGGGTTTACTGGGCAGCCTCGGCCGGCGCGTCCCTGCAGCCTGGTGTCTCAGGGAGGGTAAGTTCCAGGGCACGTCGAAGCGCGCAGGCGCCCAGATTTATTATTGATGTCTTCAACTAGATTTTAATATTTCTGATAAATTCTAGTAGTACTAACCTGGGAATCAAGTCTTAACACACTAAACTCTGGTTAAAATTTAAATCTTAAATTTAATATTTAAACTATAGCAGATCATATGACTCAGAATATGGGGCTTGCTCTCCCCAAGCTCCTAAAGACTATATCATTTGTAGGGCTGTTGTAATTTATAACCACAAAATTGATACCTTCAAATAACAGAAGTTTATTGTCTCACAGTTCTGAATGCAAGAATCCAAAGCCTTTATGTTGGCAGAGTATACTTCCTCTGAAGAGTCTAGAAATTTATTTCTCATCTCTTCCAACTTTTGATGGTTCTAGATATTCCTTGGCTTGTGGCAATTTCTTTCCCATTTCTATCTCTGTGATCATATTGCTTTATCCTCTACCTCTCCTCTATACAAAATTTATAAGTATGCTTATCATTGGTTTTAAAGCTCACCTAGATAATCCAGAGTAATCTCCTTGTGTCAATATTCTTGAGTTAATTGCATCTATAGGGGGGAAAAAAAAACACCTAAATGTTCCTTTTCCAACTAAGGGACCATTCATAGGTTCTACAGAAAAGGCATCTTTTGGGGGCCACCACTTAGTTCACTGTACTATACTCAAAATTTACATTTTCCCCATACACAAAACATATTCACTCCATTCCAAAATCTTCCAAAGTTTCAACCTATTAAATGTCCAACTCTATGTCCAAAATTTTATCTAAATATAATCAGTTCAAATGCTCTAATCATCTAAATCAGATACTGGTGAGACTTTGAATATAATAAATCTTGGGGCAAAATTCCTTTCTGTCGTTGGACCTGTGAAATTAGAAGATATAATGTTGTAAAAGGGATGTGACAAGTCACAAACATTCTCATTCCAAAAGGGATAAAATGGAAGGAATAGAGTGGTAATTAATTCCAGGCAAGATCAGAACCCAGCAGAAAAAATTCATTTAGATTTCAAGGCCTGGGGATAACCGTTGGCTTGGTGGTCTCCTTTCTGGGCCCATGTATTTGCTTGCTGGGCCTCTGCAATTGAGAGAGCTCTATGGGCTCTGCCCAAGAAGCAGTTCTGTAAGCCTTTGCATCCATATTTGGTGGCTTGGCAGGTCTCTGCTTTTATGCTCCTGCCTTCAGGTTCTGCCTGTAGTGTTAGAGTTCTCTGTTGATCTCTGTATGGGTGTCTCATTTCCCTGTGTCATTGTTTCTTTTTCCTGAAGCAAGGGATGTTTGCAGTCACATAACAATATTACCCTTTTCCTTCTTATGGAAATTTGGAAGTCTAAAAACCTTTTCTTTTGATTTTTTGTTATTTTTCTCCCTGTCAGTTGAATTGCAAAACTTCTATTGATATAATATTTTTAAAAACCTTTAACTTCTCTGTGTATGTCAAGGGATTCATACAATAAGACAGGAGAGTCATTTATAGATTGTTCTTAGGTGATTTCCTCTCTTTTCCTAACTTCTACTGAGATGGTTGTGGGATCTATTAGCTATACACCTAATCTCTTCAGTCAATGCTTGCCTACCTCACATTCAGTCTCTCACCAGAGCATGCTTTCCTGACAATGAATTTAATTTTAGTGTCTTTGGAAGTATGACTAGGTTGAGAATTTTTCAAATTCTGGTTCCTTTTTGCTTAACATTTCTCCATTTATCTCCTTCTTGCATTTTACTATGTACAAAAAGAAAAAAACCCAGCCACACCTTTCAACACTTTGCTTGTATTTCTTCTTAATTAAATGATCAAATTTACCACATTATGGTTTTGTTGTTAGGTGTCTCCCCAAAGGTCATGTGTGAGACAATGAAAGTAGGGTTAAAGGTGAAATGCTCAGGTTATGTGACCTTAACCTAATCAGTGCATTGATTTTTCTGATTGGATTAACTAGGTGGTAGCTCTAGGCAGGTAGGAAGTGGCTGAAGGAGTTGGGTAATTAGGGGCATACCTTTGATATATATATATATATATATATATATATATATATATATATATAGAGAGAGAGAGAGAGAGAGAGAGAGAGAGAGAGAGAGAGAAAGAGAGAGAGCGCCTGTGGTGATAGGAATCTGTCTCTCTGATTCCTGGTGCCATGTTCCTAGCTGCTTTCTTCTACTACACACTTCCACCATGCTGCTCTGCCTCACCTCAGACCCCAAGGAATGGAGTTAGCCATCTAAGGATTGAGACCTCTGAAACTGTGAGCTCCAAATAACTTTTCTTCCTCTATATTGTTCTTGCTGTGTCTTTTGGTAACAACAGTGAAAATCTGATTAAAACAACCACTTAATAATTTTGCCCTCTGTCCAATCGTAGGACATAGTCAAGCCACGTCATCTTCTCTATGTGACAAGAGTCAGCTTTCCTTCAGTTTCCAGTGGCATTTTCCTCATTTGTTTCTGTTCCCTTACCAGCAGAAACTTAAGCATAGCTTTTCTTGATATTATATTTTATATACTAAAACTACCAATTATTTAGTTTCATTTACTTGCCGGATAGCTGAGGTCAGAAAAGGCAATGAGCCGCCCTCAATTTTGTCTTGCAGACAGTGTAGAAATCTTGTTAGAAATTATTGTTTGGAATTAGAGAAATGCAAATCAAAACTATACTAAGATTCCATCTCACTCCAGTCAGAGGGACAATTATCAAGAATATAAGCAACAATAAATGTTGGTGAGGATGTGGAAAAAATGCTGCACTCATACATTGCAGGTGGAACTAAAAATTGGTGCAACCACTATGAAAAGCAGTATGGAGATTCCTCAGAAAACTTGGAATGGAATCACCATTTGATCCAGTTATCCCACTCATCAGTGTAGACTCAAAGGATATAAAATCAGCATACTTTAGTGACACAGCCACATCAATGTTTATAGCAGCTCAATTCAAAATAGCTAAACCATGGAACCAAACTAGGTATTCCTCAACACATGAATGGATAAAAAAGTTGTGGTATATATACATAATAGAATATTACTCAGCTTTAATGAAGAATTAAATTATGTTATTTGTCAGTAAATGGATGGAACTGGAGTAAATCATGTTAAGTGAAATAAGCCAGTCCCATTTATTAATTCTAGAAGTTTTCTGGTGGAATTTTTGGATATTCTAAGTATAGAATTGTGTTTTGGGCAAATAGTAATATAGTTGGAGTTCTTCTTTTCTTTTTTGTATCCTTTTAATTTATTTCATCTGTTTAATTGCTCTAGCTAGAGTTTCAAGGACTATGTTGAATAGAAGTGGTGAAAGAGTGCATCTCTGTCTTCTTCCAGTTTTTAGAGGAAATGTTTTCAATTTTTCTCCATTTAGAATGATGTTGGCCTTGAACTTAGCATGGATAGCTTTAACAATGTTGAGGTATATTCCTACTGTTCCTATTTTTTCTACCGAAGGAGTGCTGTATTTTTTCAAGTGTTTTTTTCTGCATCTATTGTGATGATTATATGATTCTAAAGAACCAAAGGCAATTTTTTTCTCAGATATATAGATTCTAATTCACAATAGCAGGGAAAGGGGATGGGGAGGGCTAGATAAGAATAGAGATACATTGGATTAGACAGAGTTAAGTGAAGGGAGGGGAGGGGATATGAGGTAGGAAGAATAGTAGAATGAATTGGACATTATTACTCTATGTGCATATATGATTACATGACCAGTGTAACTCCACATCACGTACAATCAGAAGAATGAGAAGTTATACTCCATCTATGTATGATGTGTCAAAATGCATTTTACTGTCATGTATAACTAGTTAGAACCCTCTCAAAAAAGATATTACTTCTGGGATATCATTTCTTGTTGTAGTTGAGAGATGTCTGAATTTACAGAATGCATAGTAGAGGATTGGTGGCAATAGAAATTTGCTTGAAAGGAACTGTTAATGTTTAGTGGTTTGGGCAAGAGTCCCCCAAATGTTCTTTTCTTAAAAGGTTACTCCCATGGATAGTACTATCAGGTGGTGAAACCCTTAGGGGGTGAGATTTTGTGGGAGATCCGTAGATCAATGGGGGTGCCTTGAAGAGATTGTGTGTCTCCGGTATCTTCCTCTCTTTCTGTCTCTCTTTGCTCATCTTAGCAGTTCGTTTTCTCATGTGCTGCCTTCAGTTTGTTTTCTCATGTGCTGCCTTCATTGGCAGCCCAAAGAAAATGGGGCTTCCTGACTATGGGCTAGAACCTCCAGAACTGTGAATCAAGATAAAACTTTGCTCTTTATAAATTAGTTGTCTGAAACTTTGCTCTTTATAAATTAGTTGTCTGAAGTATGTCATTATAGTAATACAAAACTGACTGATGCACTTACTGTGCTGAATTATAACAAATCAATCCTGGTAATTTGGGTACAGTGAAATTTACTTGATGGAATGCTACTTAGTTCCCAAGGATCTCTTTCAGAATGATTATACCAGGTGATTATATGGGATTCCCATGAGTTCCCTTATGCTTCTGAGCCATGAAAAAAATAGTTGTTGCTTTGAGGGAAATCAATGAATTAATGTTTACTTATGTCTATATAAGACTAGCAGGAATGGTTGAAATTATGAACAAGGACATAATTTATTTTCCAAACAATCATTATTTGTATAAGGAGTTATAAATGTCATTTTTCAAAAATTTTGGTATATATCCATGCAGAAATGTAACTAGTGATGTATGTATGTATGTAAA